GAAGGTTGTGGAGATTGGTTTCAGTCCAGTACTTAAGTCATTGTGCTTTTGCTAAAACAATGACAACATCAATGGATAGCACTGCCTAACCTTTTTTAAAAGAACCTGTAACTGCTAAGGAAACAAGAAAAATTATGAATTAAACTACTGTTCACTCTCAGCAGATCTCTGGTGACAGAAAGCTCTGTTCTGGCACATATATGTATATAAGTCTGCAAACCCCAGTGACTTGGAGAGAAAAGTTTGACTTCTCACAACTGTTTTGCACGAGACGAACATCACTGCATGCCTCACCTCAACAGTGCAGTGTTTTTTTCAAGGAATCCATAAATCCTCAAAAAGGGTGATTGATTTAGGCTCTGCTTGGTGCAACTGAAGTCTCAGGGAGCTATGTTCCTGGTTAGTCTCACCAGCTGTTGAATCCTGCTGCAACCAGGATCTTAAAACGGATTTAAAATGCTACCCTGGCAAAGACTGCATATGAATTAGATTATACTGGAATCTACTTCAGTTTGAAAAGAAAAACAAATTAGCAGACAAACAAAAAAAGGTCTGAGAGAGATTATTTAATCCCTAACACTGAGTTCAACCTTTGGAAAGAGTCAAAATCTCATGAGGCTTCAGGGGAAAGGAGGACACTCAGATGAGGCTGAAGCAGCCCACAGGGGAAGCTGCCTATTTCATTTCTGGAACATGGGCCATGTGCATCTATTTTTAGCTTTGAACTGAGTTCCTCTGCCTCCTGCCAGAAGTCCTGAGCCCTGTGCTGGTGCAATGAAAGCAGTGGCTCAGCCATTCTCTAATAGCTTTTACTTCTTAATAAAGAGCAGCACTTAGGCAAAGGATGAGGTTACTGTCGGAGGGGTCATGATTAATAATGATTAATCTGATCCTTGCCAACATGAACTGGATCCACCATTCACTAAATAATTACTCTGCAGCATGGATACCATTTCCAGAGGAGGCATACGTTTGTCATATTAAAACCAAGACCAAACACATGGAAGGAAAAGGGCATCTGACTTCTCACTAACGCTTGATCTCACAGGAACCACCAGAAAAGTTAAGTAAAGAGGGAAAAAAAAAAGGAAATAAAAACCCCTACAACAACTGCAAATCAAAGGATAAGAGCAGTTAAATACTGATTAATCACCCACTTTTTGGGAGAAGAAATGGAAAGCAAATAAAACTAAACCCTCAGAAGGCAGAACTGCACGTGCTGAGGATATGGAGCACTCTGCTACTTCTGGCTCTTAACCTTATGCATAACTCTAATATGCCCACCCACACATTTCCCTCCTGTTCTTAAATTACATTTTTGTTTTCCTCAGAAAGCACACAAATGAAATTGCTCCCTGGGAAACATCTTTCCTTCTTTGTGTTACTATGCTACTTGGCACAAGGAAATCCTAGTCCAGGATTGTCATTCTTCAACAACAATGCACCTCAAATAATAAGCAACATTATAACTTTATAACATTATGGGCAAGCATCAACTAATGGGAATCTAATAAGCACTCTGAAGGGCATATATGAACCTTACAATTACAGAAGGATGCTTGTGGTGCAGAGTCTTGGTTCTGGGCCTCAGAGCATGGATAAATTTTACTCCCACAAAGCACACAAACAAGCAGCAATGGAGCCAAAGGCAGACAAGGACATGGAAGCCTTGCTGGCAAGCGGTGGGCTTATCTGGGGACTCCCCTCAGCCATCACTGACCCAAACCTTCCTTGAGACCGTCCACAGGGGATGCCACTCTCGTTCTTCAGTGCTCTCAGCTCTATTCCCTTCCAGGTTTTCAAAGCTTTTGAGGGACTTATATTGCACTGTTTACCCTTCCACATCATCATGAAAGGTTTGATTTGGACTGGGAGGCCACAGAACACAGACCACCCACCAGTCCCTCTCCTGGTCTGGTGCAAAGCCAACAGGAGGGTCGTGTTCCTTGTGCCTGCTGTGAAATCCCAGCCCCATGTACGCCTGTTTGGACTTCTGCACTTGACAGGTCCAGACTTTACACACTGGTGACCTGCACCATGGAAAATACCATGCAGAGAGTTGGTGTCTTTGACTGCCAGCTTTAGGGAAGCAGGGCTCAGGTCAAGGAAGTTCCTCTGCTTCTAGAGGCACCTTGGAGAATCACAGAATATTCTGAGCTGGAAGGGATCCACTAGGATCATTCAGTCCAACTCCTGTCCCTGCACAGACACCCCAGCAATCCCACCCTGTGCATCCCTGGGAGCAGTGTCCAAACTCTCCTGGAGCTCTGGCAGCCTCGGGGCTGTGCCCATTCCCTGGGGAATTCCCTGGGCAGTGCCTGAACCCTCTGGGGGAAGAACTTTTCCCTGATACCCAACTTAAACCTCCTCTGATTCCATTCCATGCTGTTTCCTCAAGTGTCTGTCCCTCCTCTTCCCCTCATAAGGAAGTCGTAAGTGCAATGAGGTCTCCTCTCAGTCTCCTCCAGGCTGAAGTAAGAAATGCTGGTAAGTTAAATCCTTGCCAATGAGATTATGATTTGGTTAAGCTGGGGATTTTCCTAGTGGGGCATTGTGTTTAGGATTTTTTGCAGTTTCCAAATTGACTTGAAGGAATGAAAGAAAAATAAACTCCTTGCAAAGCAATCATCTTTCACAAAAATTTCAGCTGAAAAGTAGTTGGTGATTTTAAAACCAAACCTTTACACAGCTAATGGCATAAAAACCACATACCTATTTATGCATATATTCATGCAAATGAAAACTAAGTTGTATTTTCACAAAACTTTACAGAGGCGCCAGAGTGAAACACAAAGCAAGGTAGGGAAAAAAATAAAAGGACAATAATGAAGGTAAATCTGTAAAACCTGAGACAGGGTGCAGGAGGCAGGGGTAGAGCTCTGCAGACAAAACTAAATCCAGTGCACTGTTTTTCCCCTTCACAAAGTGAAACAAGCTGTTCCTAAAATAATGCTTCCTTGGTCTTCTGGCAATTAGTGTCCTGGAGGATTAGCCTACAATCATTGGCAAGTGTTTGCCTTTCCCAGCCCATGTCACCATAGAAGTCTGTGTTTATCTACAAGGCCCAGGGGATAATTTATAAGCTGAGCTGAGGTCCTGCATTCACACACAAATGTTCCACACTGCCACCCACCCTCCTGTACTAGTTTCCTCCCCATCTACCTCCTATCCCCTGAAATATAGACAGGACCCTGCCAGGGGCATGACAAATGAGCTTTACAGCCTCTGAAGCAAGCACTTGACCAATAGTTTATGTTGATACAGCAAAAAAAGAGGTACTGATATGGTCAACACATCATCAGCCATCAAAAATTAGATTTCAGGAAGTAACTGAATGCAAAAAATACTTTATCACTGTTCCAGAAAAAAAATCAAAGAGAATGGGATCTTTTTTCTCCTCCAGGAACTGTTGCCTACACTCTAATTGAAATATTGCCATTTGTGAGTTTGAGGGCTACTACTCAGGGTTTGTTAGAGATAGGGCTTTTTAAAACCTCTAGCCATCCAACTTTATTTCTAATCTATGCTACCAGTGCTTTAACAGTGTTCTGGTCACCCTGTAAACTAAACGTGATTCAATCAGAGTACATCAAAATACAAAAGACTAAGATTAGTAAGAGTGTTTATTTCTAAATTAATTTTCCCCTGACGTGTTAGAATCTCAAAATGAGAATATTAGCCTTGCATTTGAGAGAATGGGAAGCTAGCCTTTTAAAGAAAAGCAATATGAATTCTTGTCTTGATGATAAACTGACAATATAGCTCATGACAATTAATCTGTTAATTTGAAAATTCTAATAAAAGCACCCAAGCAAAACAAAGAAAATCAATGAAAGACTCAATTCCAGAAAGAATTTGTAAGTGTGACCAACATTCCTCACAACAGAGAATACTGCAGAATAGGTATGTGGATGCATGGACAGGTTTTTATAGATAAGATGGATCTGTTCTCAGATCTCAAACATTAACAAAACAAGGCTTAGAGATGTTATTAATTAAAGTTGATGAAGATGCATGTTGAAGGTGAAAAACATTTTTTTTTCCCCTGAGAATGCATCTCTTTTCTCTTCAGGAAACTATCAGGAATTTCTGGAGCATCATGGACACATTTTGAATCTGCCTCAGGTCTAAACCCAGTCACAGGTACATTAGAGAGTGAAGTTATTGGGTAATTGAGACCAGCTGCTTCACTATGCCACATTTAACACTGGGTGACCTGATTTTATAGAATGTTTTAGCTCAAATCAAATTTTGTTTGGAAAGAATGATGTCTAGATTCAAACTTCTCTTTAGCTACAAAGAGAGGAGCACATATGAACTAAAAAAAAAATTGTCAGGGATGAACCTGGCTAGTCTGAATAAGTGCCAAGCGCCAGGGGAAGGAAGAGACCACCAGCTGGATGTTATTCCAAGCACAGCTCACCTCACTTGCAATTACTGAACCCTACCAGCAATCCCACCAATGACAATTTGACAAATTTTAGAATAAGGGACCATTCATCCCAAGTAATGAATACTAAAACCTGGCCATCAGTTTGTGAACAAGTTTTTACATGTCTGTCATGAGGAACCCCAATAAAGAATGTCCTTGTGATGGTGTCACTTCAGAACAAAAGCAAGCAATGAACTACCACCCATCCAGGCAGCTACAGTAGGAGACCAAAGGTTGCATGCATTTAGCCAGCAAGGAAATGCAATATTCTTTAAGAAAGGCATTGCCTGGAGTAGATTTTATAAAGAAACAGAATTCATGAATAAATAAACCAGATGGGAATAAGCTAGGCTAAGGCATTAACATCTCCTAGTGCAATGAATCCCCGATCTTGCTTGAGGGTTTTTTACAAACAACAAACACAAAAACATTAATGTTGTACCATTGTCAATCATGCCAAGGACTCTGTTTGTGTCCAGGAACTCTGATATGCCACAACATACGGATAAAATCCACCAGACATTAAGACATTCTTAGATTTCACCAGTTAAGGTACATATTGACTGACCTGATCTGAGTCTTTCACTTGAGAATTTTTCCCTTTTCTGCAACCACAACTCATAAGCAGTTTTGCATCTCCAATGACTTTTCCCTATAAGAGATAAGGAAGGAAAAACATCAGCGCAATCTGAACCACTGAATACCAAGAGGCTTGTACTTGTGATCAGGACTCTTCCTGTGTTGCTGGGAGGTTCACTTTCACAGAGGGGGAGCTCCCAAATTGCCTAGAAGACTTCCCCAAAGGATAACATCACATTAGAGAAGTCACACAGGGGCAGAAGGAAAGCAAGGTGTGTAGAAAAGGACAGTAGGAAAGCAAAGCTGAAAATAAACATGTTATTTTAACCTATGGCTTTCATACACTTGCATGAACAGGACCATGTCTACCATGTTCAGACAGTACAAATACAAAACTGCAGTGACTTGAGGAAAAGCTCATACACTAATTTTCTCTTCACCTTTACCAAGGTAACGCCTACTTGCTTTTAATGTGCCCAGATTTGCTGAAATAAAGTCTTCAGGAGAGACTTGCTCTCAGTAGAACAATGAGTCCACATCATGTCTGGTAAACCCATGCCAGGAATCCAAGGGAACACTCTCACCTAACACTGCTGGTACAGACTCTGCAATGACTGTGACACAGAATCATAGAACGTTTGGGTTGGAAGGGACCTTAGAGATCTCCCAGTTCTACCCCATGCCATGAGCAGGGACATATTCCCCTAGACCAGGTTGCTCCAAGCCCTGTCTAACCTGACCTGGGATACTTCCAGGGATTGATGCTCAAACCAACAGATTTGCAAAGAAATAGAGTCTACTTACTTTCCTTTCATCTGTAACCAACAGTCTGAGAGAGAAGCTGATCTCGGACACCTTTATTTTTGTTGAAAACCCATCAGACTGACTGAGTGTGATCCAAGCAGCAAGGTTCCTCATGTTAACAGGGCTCTTTTCTGGGGGTTATTTGAGTCACTTTAGCTCTTCACCAAAATATTTTAGTTGCTTATGAAACCTGGACATCTTGATAAATCACCACAGCAGGAAGGAGTTGGGATTCCAGACTTGGTCAAAATGCTGCTTGAATTTAAACTGCATGGAGTCAAAAAGAGCCAGTGGAGCCTCCACAAATGTATCACAATCATTTGTTTTTCCATAGGCATGCACACAAAGACATTGCCTACTTTCAGAATTTTGCTGTCCACAGTTGAAAAATAAACTCTTGGCATCTGCTGGGGAACAGAGGGAGAACCTGCTCATGTGCAGTCATGAGCAGTCATGAGATTTCAGCTGGATTAATTTATACAGAAAAGGAGATCTCAACACACTTAGTGAGTTTAGCCAAGTGGAAGTGCTCTGCCCTAAATGATGAGGAAGGGAAAGGGCAGGATTGAAAGGAATTGCATCCATTGCTCAATGTCAGGGCACAGCAGAGTGATGACCCTTGGTGGCAGGAGTTGAAAAAAGGCAGATAAACTTTTGGTCACCTTGGGAGAGCTTGTAACCTGCCAGATGTGGGGATATTTCTTACTTGGCGAGCTCAGCATCTCACAAATCCCAGCAAGGTCAGATAATGTGCAGAAATTATCTCTTTCTTTCCTTCCAAAACAGAAGCTGGGAAAAAACTAAGACACTGAAAAGGTTGTACTGATACCGAATCTGATAACTACCCAAAACGCCTCATGTTTGGGCTACTGATTACAAACTGTCACACTCTGAGGTTTTCAGGAGACTACTTCCAGCTGGCCTTCTCTACCCCATCTGTCAAAGGTGTTTCACTTCTGCCCCATTACTACAATCCTTCAACAACTGGTCTGTAATCTACTGAGGTAATTTTTTTTTCCTCAGAATAAAGTGATTACACTATAAGTTAAAGCAAGTGTATTAAAATACTGTGTTAGAGACAGGAAACTGAGGCATAGAGAGAGAACACTTTGTCTAACCACGGAGTACCTTCTACCCTACAGCATGTGAGACAAGTTAGAGCTATAAAAAGACCTAGGAGACACTCACACATTTCCCAAAAGGCCACTGGATACCTTGGGGTGGCTATAGCATTAGCATACAGTTATGGTTAGGAAATTACATCCACATATGTCTCGCTGATGTTCAGCTTGTCTCACTGTCTGCTGCAAAGCTGTTATGTCAAAGAAGATAATCCAGCTCTTTTCTAGCCAAAAGCCAAGGAAAAAAACCTCCAATTTTTAGACCCTCTATGGCTCTAATGCCACCTGAGCTCATGGCAAACCACGTCCATGTTCTCCTGTCCAAACAGAAGTATCATCAGTTTTATTTAAGCAAGAGAAGCCACAAGATGTTGCCCATAAACACCTGGAAAATCAAGAGTACAAGGGAAATATGAACCCAAAACTTGAGAGTTTTTTTCTTTTTCTCTGACAGTACAAGAATGAAGGGGCTCTTCAATTCCCTAAGAAAACCCAAATGAAAGAAATGCACTGGATAAATAATCCCACCTCCTTTTCCAGCTGCAGATGCATCTCTCTTAATGTGCATGGGATGAATGGGCTACTACCTCCACCTTATTTTAGGAAAGCTCCTTATGAGCAGATGCTTAATTTGCAGATAGGTGTCTAACATTAGGCAGCTAAGTTGAAAGGCAAAAGGGAAAAAAAAAAAGCATATGGACAACATTTGCAGCCAGTCGCAACTCTGTTCCAGAGCAGATGGAGGCCTTGTCATTCAGGGGTTTCCTCACATACACCAAACAGTTCAGTGGGGATAGGGAAAGGGGCTTCTGTTTGGATGCTTCTGTCTGGAACCAGATTAGAGGAAAGCATGCTTTTCCACAGCACACGCCTTGTGTTACATTAAACATGCATGTGCAACTTCAGCTTTTATTCAGCGATCTGAAACAGAGCCCTCCAGGGTGCTAAGGGTTAGTGAGTTTTTGTTTGTTTATCTGTATGTTATTTTACAGTTTCTAGTGCCCAAGGAGTTTGTTAAGAAATTAAAACACCTCGCTGGGGCTATCCTGCTGTGGTTGTTACCTCCTAATATTTCCCATCTTTCTTCCTTCAGCAGTGCTTGATGCTTACAGGGGAAGGAGAGAACATCACAAAGAGAAAAGCCTCATCTGACTGGGTATACATGTTTGGTCTCATGGAGAATAATATCTATGTTTCCTGGCCTTTTAATAACATGAGGTGCTATTGTTTAGAAGCAGGTAGGCACAAGGTTTTCCAACAGGGAAGATTGTTTTGCCTTCTGCTGGCTCACATCCACTGCCAGACCTCCCATCAGCCTTCCCAAGGCAAAAGAGCAAGAAGGCTCCTTGATATATGTCCTATTATCCCACCTCTTACAGGGAATCTGGCTGGCCTCACCCACCTCTTTGCACCACGGGCTCCAGCAGTTGGCCAAAGTTTGCAGAAAAATAAGAAAAACCGTAATAATAGTAACAGGCTTAATTATCTCAGCTGCACGGGTGACAGGAGCTGAGCAGCTGCCAGTTTTAACAGCCTGTGGTCGAGAAAGATTGAACTGCATCACCCAGAAGTCAAATGAGGGTCGGTCACAACTCGCTTCACGCCAGCAGCTCCAGGGGAGGCGCAGGGCACACACAAATCACTGCGGCGTTGCCCAGAGCCATCCCGTGTGGAGCTGCCAGCCCCGTTTAAAGGAGTCAGACACGAGGCACATGGCACCAGCCGGCCTCCAGGGAGCTGCCAGGCTCTGTGCTCTGGAGTTGCTGGCTGGGATTAACCGTAGGATCCTGTCTTCCAAGTATGCGGCTGGAAAGCTCAGCTCCAGAGGTGGGCTTGGCTTAGCACTGTGCCATGCACCTTGCAGAAGCTGACAGGCCCAGCTGGGCTCTAACCTTCTTGGTTTTCACTAGCCTTTCTCTCTTTTGAGCGACAGCAATTGAAAATATTGGAAGCAGCTTTTTCCCCAGGGAGCTGGCACAACCACTCGGAGGGTGGTCAGGCACTGGAACCACCCCAGGGAAAGCCTCAAGTCTGCCAGAGTCCAAAAAGCATTTGGACAAGGTTCTTAGGCAGACAGTGTGATCCTTGGGGCTGTCCTGTGCAGGGCCAGGAGTTGGACTCGATGATCCTTGTGATTCTCTTCCAACGTGGGATATCATTCTTGGAGTCTATGTAACAGCAAACTCTAAAAATTGCCATGACTGCACAAACACCATTAAGAAGAACAGCACATTCAGTGTTTGTTGTGGCTTTTTTGCTGTTCTGTCAGGGTGATCCACACATTTTGAAGAACCAGTACCCAAGTGCCTACAGTGGTAGAGTGGGAGAGAAGGGGGGAAAGGAAGGGAAACAAGAACTGAATCCAAGGTGGAGGCAAGCAGCAGTACAACAGACAGCTGGTGTTTGGGTGGTGGTAAATCACCCTGAAATGAGCCTCTTCCCTCAGCTCAATGAGGCCTAAACAACAAAGGAAGGCACAGCTTGCAGCCGGACAGCCTGCTAGCCAACCACAGACACACATGACAGCTTCATTCAGGAGCCCGGAGTCAATACAAAAGCTCCGAAATCAATCCGACATCCTGCGACCTCAAACAATGCGCCAAATCTTCTCAGAATTGGAGCCCCAAATGAGGGGGAGCAGCATTCAAGGGAGATCAAAACGCAGGGCTGGCATTGAAAGGGACTAAAAAGGAGAAGAATGTTCCCAGTTTATTAATGGTGAGGTCTGGCCGGCTGCATCCCAGCCACCATAGGTTACGTTCATTAAAGGGCAGCGCTTTGCACGTATTATGCAGAGTGCCCGGGGAGTATGTGTTGTGTGCGTGTGTCCGCCAGCGTGCCCCTCACTTGCTAGAGATCAGGATGTGCCTTTCTGCTTAGCACTGTTGTCTCCATCAGAAATTCCTCCTGTGTGAACCGCAAACGGGGTTTTTTCCCACTTGAGCCACTGTATGGGCACAGACGCGCACACGTACACACGCTCTCTCTCATCCCTGAGCCTGAAAAGCATAAAGGAACTCAGACAGACTCTTTCCAACTTTAAAAAAAAAAAAAAAAAA